CATTTGCGAGACGCGGCGTTGACGCGGGATAGCAGCAACCCACAAGCATAGTCGAAGCCACAACCAGAACCAGCACGAAAAATTATAAAGCGGTCAGCCAATACGAACATGACCAACAAGTTCAGATTGCCCTGTGTGACCACACGATAGATATTCATTCGCTTACGCAAGCATACTTGATCATGTAGATACACGAGACGTAAAATTTTCTGTCCGTCAAAAATTATTTTTCTAATCATTTAAACGCTCAGTTGAAGCTTGCTATGACTAAGAATATAACAGAGCGGCAAAGCGGCAGTTAATGATAATTACCTATTGATAAAAAGCTCTGTACCAGTAGTTTCCTACGTACCAGAAAAAATTAATATGCCAAGGGACTTCATTAAAGAGAAGGTCGCGTGCGCACTTGCTGAGCTATATACTGATCACAGGAACCTCCAGTTTTTTAATTAAATGACTAAAGGAATTTTACAACCTCCACGATCTCACGTTCTTCCACCGCTTTCGCGAAGTAGTATCAGTCAACATTGCATTTATTACAAAGAGCCTACCGCTAATTTGATTGAACTCTGGACCAAAATGATCCACGATACATGTGTTATGCAGAATGCAGATAAGTCCAGCATGATATGACCACTGTTACGCCATTCGCTTACAATCGATACCATTTGAGTGGACAACTATTTGGAGATTAAGCAGCTTGAAGTAGGCAAAAACAATATGGAGTATTTCGCGTTGGATGTGTGCTGCAATGCTAATAATGAGAATGTAGTTCACTTCCTGTGAGCAGCAAATAAGGAAGTCCACGCTGATATAGAACTATTAATCGAGACAGCCTCAAATGCAAGTTCCGAACCATTAATAATCATCGGATGATACAAGTCCACTTTGTCGAGTGGCCGGGAGGGTACAATGCGTGGATGGCAGGTTGAAATGTTAGTTTGAAAATAAACAACTGCAGTGCTTATTTACCATTATTGCAGCACGCATATTAAGTAAAACTCCGCAACACAAAGGTGTTCCAGCTATCACTAAACACGACGTCAGAGATTCAGCATTTCAGAGAAAATATTTTCAGAAGCTTAAAGACTTATCTCAGCTCTGGTATACTTGTCTACCCCATAGTCGCCTTTAACACAAGGTAGTCGACCCTGATAAGATCGAAGCGCTCGAGGCGAATCATATTTATGGTTTATCTTGGAGAATTGACGTAACATTGTAAACAATTCTCCACTGTTTTCATAATTGCCATTTTTGAACAACCGATGATGATGTTACGTTGATTTTTAAAGAGGTAGTAAAGATCCTGAACTGAAAATGAACCTCGAAGCATAGATTTAAGAGCTTCGATACCGGACCCATTAAAAAATCGAAATTTTCTTATGTATCCTGCCGAACGCAAGTAACTTTGTTCTGACACAGGAGAAAATCGCCCGTGGAGAATAAAAAGTATTATATTGTTGAGGGTTATTATAAAGCTTTAAAGTACCAACTTATAGTTGACCGAACACATTGATTACAACAGGTTATCTATAAATGCAGTACTTATGATATGGCTTCTGCTGGACCCAATTCCTCGTTCCTTTTGCAAAGCATCTTTCGTGAGCCCACCTATCGAGCCAACAGACCATAAAGCGATGATGATAATGAAGTCTTCTCGAAAAAAGCACACAGTTATTGTGGAGATATACTCTCTTTATAGGCATTCAGGTTCCACCTGCAAAGGTTCTGGCATGCATCGACTATGCACACGTATCAAAACTTGATGAGTAGAATTCTATTGATTTATATTACCGTCGAAAAAAGGTATTCTTCCTTCCTTGCGTGCGTGCTATGGCAAAGGCGACCTTTGTGGCGTTCGTCGACAAAGTGCATGATCAAGATGTCAATTTGCCGGCGCAGGTACATCTCGTGCAGACATCCACACCGTTCGTCGAGGGTCTCCCTAGTATGAATACAAGATTCTGCACAAGTATATCATACCTCTCTGGCACAGCGCATTCCTGTAATGGGGTAGACCATTACACCCATTACCATTATGCAAAAGGACGAAAAAGTATCGTGTTGTACAGTTTAAATTAGATCATTAAATTTAGTGATGATGTTGTGATGAACGAGGCGTCAACTGTTTGGTTGATATTGTGTGTATATCAATCCATAATCGCTTCTAGAAGAGCGCAAAAGGTGAATGGTAGACATATCGTCAATTTGGTCTGATCAATATGAATAAGTTACAACCCTGTAGACACAAGATTTATTAAAATTAAATTAAATTAAAATTCAGTATACTTTTGCTTCAACCAAAGTCTATATCGTCGTCTTTTACCCTCCCTATGTCGGTGTAGAGAAGAATATGTCACTGACCTCCACTATTGTCAGTGAGAGTTGGATCTGGACTGGTCGGCCAGTTTTGTAGCTGCCAATGTTCCGTTACATCAACCTATTTCGGATAAAGGGTAATTAGCTTTAAGGCGTTAGGCTTAGCACGACCAGCTTCGTTTAACTGAAATAATATGTGACTTTCTTCGCATCGCCGATGATGCGGCGAGACCGTACGGCGACCTCCAACTGGACAAATCGGAACAGCAGAGAGTATTTTATGGCTCCCTAGACTTATATATACATCTGTGTTAAAACTTCTGGGCTAGAGAACATGTATCGATCCGCTTAAAGCAGCATTAATTTGATCCATCTTCTTGAATTTGTCTGCGAAAGGCTTTGTAAAATACTCTGTTTAGAGCTTGAATAAAGCAAAGTTTAAATCATTGATTCAGCATTCCCATTGTTCCAAATGGTGTGTCGGTACTAGCCAATTACTCAGCTTTGTATACAGCTTTGACCAAGACACCAATAGCGGTAACATAAACTTAACACATAATTTGCTAAATCGCATTATCTTCGATGACAAAAAAAGAATAAAACAATTTTATATATGGTGTGAAATATGTACATTCTCTCATGCACGTGATATATAAAAGTTTTGTGATCGTGGTGCACACTATGATGTGCGACCAGACATAATAATTAATCTTCTACCCATCTAAGTAACAAAGATTCTGTCATTTAGTACAACGAAACGTGCTATACCGGCGGTAATGTATAGCGGCACGGCATGTCCTCCAAAAGAAAGTGTTATTTGTACGGATGAAAAAATTGATGGTGTGCATTTTTTTAATTTTTTGAAGCATTTTGTAAATATCATATGATTTAGACTGTTCGTTTGATAACAATGTGAACATTTTTTACGTATGGGTACTTGATACAATTGTTGCGGAACAAAGGGCCTCGCAATCTCGGCTTTAAATACGCAGATGGACGTTTCTTGTCAATAAAAGTACACTATGCCCAATTTACACGTACAATTTGATGTGCCGACAACAGCTCTAGACTAGGAGATAAAGGTAACTTGTGTACTAGGCGATCTTATCTCACGTTGGTATAGACCAGCAAATCCATTGTGTCAAACCTAAAATAGCTATCAGTCGCCATTTAAATTCTTTTTTAATTCCTTTACATCTTTGATTAGTAGCAATTACATTTCATATTAGATACATTTCATTAACTATCTATCGTGATCAATCTTTCAAAATATCCTTTATTGGATATTTTATTATTTGAATCAATTCTTGGGCTTATTTCAGCTAAGTTGAGAATCTGTATTGTATGACGTTGAGAACTTTTACCTTTTATTTTTGCTGTCTCAACCACACAAAGTCACAGCCTCTGACCCCCACTCAATTTTGTCGATGCTATCGTCATACCATTAAAACAGGCAGTTGATGCATGTGCGCAAGAACGAATCGATTTTGTCGGTGCAGCACCTTATAAATGAGAACGGCCTCCGTGAAGAAGATGGACATGTAAACCTTTGCAATGTCGGCCTGCGTCAATTCATTGGTGGCACACAAAGCAGCCCGATGATGCGTGTATACAAGCAACAGCCGTGACGCATTTACAGCCACTCTAACAGATGTTGTGCCACTGTTTTTTGGCAACCGATAGAAATGTTGACTTATGGGATGTAGCGGAGCTACATAGCTCCTTAGTTCAGAGGAAGACTAAACGCTCTACGAGCAACTTTGGTTCTACAAACCCGAGTCAGAGAGTTAACAAGCTCGAGAGCTTACGGTTCCTGTTCCAGGGAGACTAAACGATTCAAAAGAATCACAGCACAGATTGCTCAGATGCAGCTACGTTCAAAGATATTGCTAGCTCCTACCGACGAAAGACGCCTCGTAAGAGACGTGTCTTTAAGTGATAAAAATGAAAATTGAATTTTATTCCTTCTTATAATCTAAAAGAACACCTTAGATCAACATAATTAAAGTACTCGCTAATATTCTACATAAAACCTCTCAAAAAATCTCGTAATCAATGGTTGACAAGCAATAGTCTATTTCAATCGATAATGTGTTCTAATATCACTTTCAAGGGAGGCCCATCCCTTGTGTGCATCACACCTATTGTCGACTACTAGCCGATGTGTACCCCGTTACATAGGAGCTGCAAAAAAATGCAACGAACTTGAATTTACCAGTAGTTTTGTCGACATTTACAAAGAGCGATTCTTGCGCAAACTTTCTGCCGTCAGGTACCGCTGCTGTGTGTCAATGATTTCGGTCAGCCTTCGATTACATTCGAGCTGAAAATGAGGATACTCACGAGCATGACAAGCGTGTGCTACTGGACTGGATGTTCATGATAGCGCCAGAGTCATCGATTCCTTTCTTGCCTCATACATAGTCAAGCACAACGGACTACTCACCAATGGTACACTCAAACCACCGAACGACATCAACGCCGTGTTGTGCTTTGTAAGACATACTCACGTCGATAATACCTTTCTGCCCTTCTCTCGCCACACCATCAACTGATTCGAGTGCTGCACACCTCACATCGACCCACCCGTCGTCGGCCCTCTTTCACGATCGTCTCACACGGATTCCTCCACACGTGACCCCTCTCACCGTCCGTCTTCTCGTGCACCGATTGCTTGCTCCATGACGCCCCTCAGTCTCCACAATCTCTTCAGCGTGGAGGACAAAGTGGTGGTCATCACGGGCGGAGGTCGCGGCCTTGGCAAGATGATGGCCGACGGCTTCGTGCAGAACGGGGCTCGAGTGTATATCGCCTCCCGCGACTTGAAAGGGTGCGCTGCCACGGCCCAAGAGCTCATGGCGAGAGGCTCCGGCCACTGCATTGCCGTACGATACGCGGAACTGGCAAAAGTTCTTCCGCCAATGGCCCCGTTGGCCATTTAGCGCTCACGTGACGACGTTGTGCCTATTTCTATACTATTTACCGTTTAGCTGGAAGCAGATTTGCAGAGCGAAAGGGGGTGCAAGCAGCTCGCAGCAGCGATCGCGAAACAAGAGTCCCGAGTCGATGTCCTGATCAACAACTCGGGCGTCGTATGGGGTGGGGACTTTGACCACCATCCAGAATCCGGTACCGCTTTTCGACGATTGATAGTGGAGGAGGACGAGTGTTTGCCACACGGGTTTGGGCTGACACAGATGCTTTCTTGCTTGCTTCTTGTTTGTGTGTGAAATCGACGTGCTGCTAGCTTGGACCAAAGTGTTGACAGTGAACGTGACGGCGCCCTTTTATCTGATCAAGTACCTCTTGCCACTACTGGACGCCGCTGCCGCGACTTCGGATGCTGCCCGCATCATAAACGTTGGCTCCGTGGCTGGGCTCGTACCCCAGCGGCTCGACACCATTGCCTATGATACATCCAAGGCAGCCATCCACCACATGACGCGCGTACTGGCGGCGAAGTTGGCACGTCGGTCGAACGGCGGTCATATTCTTGTGAACGCTATTGCCCCGGGGCTGGTGCCGTCTAAGATGTCGAACAGTATTTCAATGGTTACCGATCAGACTCTGGACGAAGTTGCGACCAGCATTCCGATTGAGCGGTTCGGCGAAGATGCTGATATGGCTGGGCTCGCTATTTTTCTGTCGTCGAAGGCGTCGGGGTGGATCACTGGTATGGTGATTGCCTCAGACGGTGGTCAAGTGTACGCAATGGAGACCTGTGTGGGGCCGTCCAAGTTGTAGGCTGACGACCATCAGGTGTAATAATGCCAAAGTGTGTTTCACGTGTGTTTCACAAGAGCAGCGATTCATGCAGCTTTGTGCGACTCAATACGATTCTTCTCATGCTGTATATTGTCTGACGGTCAAGACTTAAGTACAACAAGGACTAAAGGACACCGATATAAGTCTCGAAAGTACCACAGCCATACTGAAAAAAAACACATGGCGATAATAGAGCATTTCCCTCTGCGCACAGTCAAATAGCATACGTTCGTTTTATAAAACATGGCAGCACTATAGTTCTAGGGACAACAGCCTTGCTGCACAATGGGTCACCTATTTGACGTAAAGCTTGGACACATTTTGGTGGCTCTTGCCCGTAGATATATGCAAAATTTGCTTTGATGCGGTGAGGTCTTAGGTTATGTCTTTCTGGCTATCTCTTCACTCACGGCTTTGGCATAGCTAAACAGCGACGACTTCTCATCCTGATACGTCCACATTGTGTTTGGTAGGTCTAAAGGTCCCAGCTTTTGACGCCGTCTGCTATTATACTATAAAAAGGCAACAAGTCGAACAACACAAGCTTTAAAGTGCCTATAAATCGCCAGTGTCGCATGAATCCTATGAGAAGCAGCAATCATTTGGATGGCTATAAAAGCGAGACACCACGAGTAGGCGACTTATATAATTAATCAACTAGTGAGCTTGCATGCTGTAAAAATAGCGACGTGCAGTCGCTGTATTTGTCGTCTTTTGCATTTATAAAAAAGCGATTTTTTCGGCTCAATCATGCCGAATGGACTGCTGTAACGGGGCACACCCTTGCGTAACTTAACGCAAGGGTTTTGGGTGCCCCGACAGACGTACACGTGGCAAGCGAGGAAGCGTAGGTAGGGTAAAAGTAGAACTGCTATATTAATATAATTAAGTTTTTAAACCACTGTCTCTTCGTTTGACTTAGCTTAACTATACTATTATAACTGAGTGTATGGTGACGTCTCGTCACCACTCATTGCGCGCGTCTTGCGGCGATTGGTGGGTTGATATCGTCAATATATCAATCAATGAACAGACTATTTGGTCGACCCTTCAATATCACCACTTTGGTGATATTGTTTAAAGAATATTCAGCTTCATATTCTTCATTGTCACTTTCCTTAAAGTGACAATTTCATGTAACGGGCTGCCCCGTTACAACTGCCATGTACACATGCGCAGCGCTTGCGGTGTGTGCGTCATTTGATTGAGTACATCTTCTATACGCGAAGCGTTGTGCGTGCGCAACATATTCTACCTCATTGATCTAGTGCTGTCAAAGTCTCACAGGCATCAAGACCCTCATTCGCAGAGGCTGAACTTCGATTTTTTTGGATTCAGGTTGACTTAGTTGTGAGGAAGTTATCCAGCGATGCACCCAATGCGTCGCTTGCTGACTTTGAGAACGTTGTATCTGCTTTATCCGTGTGATCCCGCAACAAATTCATTCTAAGGGAAAGACTCGGATGTAAAGGTGTTGCTAAATAGTCAAGCGGCAAATCTTATGCGGGTTCGTCGAGTATCATAGCTGTAACGGGGTTACACGTCGACTGGTAGTCGACAATAGGTGTGGTACACACAAGGTATGGAATCCCCTTTAAAGTAATATTAGAACACAAGTATCAATTGTTGAAGACTGATGTCTGTCAACCATTGATTACGAGATCTTTTAATATGTTTATTTAGGACATAAGTAAGTAGGTTATTTACTTTGTTTTACAATGTTCTTTTAGGTTAAAAGAAGAAATAAAATTCAGTTCTCATTTTGATCATCAAAAGACACGTGCCTCTCTGAGGCGTCTTGCGATCGTAAGGAAGTAGCAACGCCTTTTTAAGGCAGATACTCCTTGTGCACTCAGTGCGTTTGATTCTTTGAATCGTTTAGTCCCCCTGATACAGGGACCGTAAGCTCTTTGAGCTTGTTGACTATTTGAGTCGGGTTCTTTGAACTAAGCTTAGCTCTCTTAGCTGTTGACTCTTTGATTCGGGTTCGTAGAACCAAAGTTGCTCATTGAGAGTTAAGTCTTCCTCTGGCTTAAGGAGCTGTGTAGCTCTACTACAATATCGGCATTACAGTGCTCTACATTTACAAGATTTGCAGTATGTCTACCTCGTTTTACTTTCTCAAGGCATTATCTTGTCATCTCTTTTCTCTGTTATGCTCTCGCTAGAAACCTACACTGACTCTTTCATTTCGATACTACTCAGTCATGAACTGACATTATGTGATGAAGAACCATATGCTGTATTCTAGCGATGATATGAATATTGATAATGCAGCAACATCGTCTGGAACGAAAAGAAAGTCTTATAATCCCTTCGATGAGTTTCCCCCAAAAAGCTATTTACTAAAGTACGTTATCGAATTCCGCGTCTATGTACCTCGTTCTATTGCCGCTAACTTATAAGTTAATAAGTCTTGATCAAATGGGGAAATATATCTTAATATATGGTAATTATTTGTATAATAAAAGATTAAACTACTCCAACCCCATGTCGAGGATGGGTTGGGAGGTGGGAGTGTTGCTAAGATCAAGCTTGAGGTTGCCAAGGACTTTATAAGCATCTTGGTGACTTTCTTGGAATACGTCGAGCAGTGAGCAGGTATCAAGAAGACGGTTAATCTTCTCAGTTTCAATAAACGGTTCTGCGATAGGTGCCGCACCTTCACTTTTTTCCTCCTCATCATCTGCCTCCAAAGACTCTACTAGAATCTTGTTGCCGGCTAACTTATACTGAGCAGTCTCATCCTCTTCGATGGGATCTAGAAAATTTGAAATTTTCATTATCTCTTGGACACGCAGCTTCTTGATCTGTACTATAAGCTCTTTCTTTAGATCACTTTCTTCCCTTTCAATCTCTGCAGTATCTTAATTACTCCTTTCCTTCTCCTATGCACTTGAAGTGGCCGATACAGTCGAAAAAAGCTTCGTGTGACTAAAGCAGTTGGCAATGGTCGTAATTAGAATCCCTTTCGAGGCAGCCCCCGACCATCGAATGGCAGTGAGTTGGTTGAATTTGTGGATGTAAAAACTTGCACTACGCTCGTCACATTAGACCGCATTCTACAGATGGAAACGGCGATACCGCCGAGTGAATGCTGCGATGACATCAGCATTCATTGGCCAAATTATTTAGGGCCTAGGTGGTGGAAGCAGCGGGACCTCGACGTTAGTTACAGTAAAGTCAGTAGTCATATGAGACAGACCATTGTCAATCAATAAAATGTTATTTCTACTTTTATTCTATTATTATATTCATATAACAATGAGTTTTTTATAATTGGATACACACCTTAATTGTACTGTCTTGACTTGCAGGCCATTCCCGCAAGAATACACCCTTCATTCAAGCCTTTGTGTATTTGCAATCGATAAATCCATGTGATTGATATGATTTCTTGTCAAAGCAGCGGGCTTTCTTGACTTTTCCGATAAAGAAAAGCTGCAGCTTATCATACCTATTAGCATTTGCAGTGAGCGCTATTGTGATCCACGATTGCATAGGATGTCAGTGCATCCCTTGTTTAAGGATATTACAACATGCATTCTGCAGTATGCACACTTTGTCTTTTTTCCGTTCTTCACCTTCGTTCTGTGCAGTAGTCCTGTCAGTTCTCGTGTTGTAGTCTATTCCTGCAAATTAATTTTGTCAGACACGATTTTAATTCGAAATATATCAAACAAATTTAAACGGTCTCGGCCATGTTGTAAACATCATGTAGCCCATACTCGGCGATGACCTTCGATACACGATATGTAGCTTCTTTTATAAACTTTACGTCCACCGAGTGGCTTCACCGTAATTGTTCATAGCATGTGACATTGCTGTAATTTATGGAGGAATACGTGCGAGAGGGCGATGATGTCTTCAGGAGCACCAAAATAAATGGAGCATGACGATCAACCTTCGCACAGATGACATCCCCAGTGATATTCATACGCGATGTTGGCATTGCAGTATCCAAAGATTTGCATCTTCTTCGATTATGGAATGTTGAACCAGTTGCTGTCGCTTTTTATATAGGCTGCTTAGATCCATATTTACAGATTAGACCGCTTTCGTAAGTTCTTGCTGATTAATACCTGTGACAGCAATTTAAAGAGGACGAACCCCACCGTAGCCCATTTAGCCAGCACTGTTTATGATAAATCTAAGTTCTCCTTCCTGTGTTCGCATATTCGGGGACATTGTATATTAACAAGACGGATCTGTGACATTTTATACTGCTTAAATACCACACTAAGGATCCATACACAGGTTAAAAATGTACATCTGTGGATTTTTCTGTGGAGCAATTGTCAGTTCGGACGAAAAAAACAATAGGTGCGTTCATAACGTTGGGAAGGTAAAAACTAGCCAGGAGCATAAGACTGCTGTTTTGTTCCAGCAGTGAAAGCCTTGGAGATTAATTTTAATTTTTTATAAGGGCTGTGGGAGGTTGGCTTGGGTGCCCATGTCTGCGTTTTTGATCAATTAATTGATTGGTTCTCCTTATGTACGATGCGCAAAAATTATCAAGTTATGACTTTTGCTAAGTTATTATGAAAGTCGTCCACCGTACTCATAACTTATCGGAGGAAGCCTTTATATACGACATAAAATGATATTGCTTCGACCACCGCGACAGGATAAAGATGTGGAAGTTTTTAGCAACACAATAAAAACACCATTCGCTCAGCTTTGATCTCATTCGTTTTTTGTTTACTATAGACTTTCGACATGTTTACAATAATACATCTCGTCAACTTCTTACGTTCGCCACTGGCCGTACTTCAGCACTCAACTAGGCTACTAGAAACGCTTCAGACTAATATTGGTTAGATTTAATGCTGGCCCAAGGCACGCATTGGCTTATGTTATTTATGACGATTCCGGATTTTACGACCCTTGTATGCTATTATTTCCTTTGCCTGACCGAATAATTAGTTATAAATTTTAATGCTGCAGCATGCTCACTCACCTAAAAATTACGTCATGTA